CCTACATGCAAAGAAATAACCGTAGGCATTCACAACGGAGTTACAGATTAGATGCTGGTTTATTATGCATCATTAAGACCAGCCTAGCAATCTTGTGCTTGAACATGCCAAACACAAGCCAGCGAGCGTCTATACTCCGAACCTGCGCATATAATTTGATTAATCATGCGCTTGTAAGGATCTCACATTTACTCTTGATCCCGATGGCTTAAAAAAGCGTTTGAGTACAAACCCCTCCGCGCAGACGAAATGTACCACAACACAATGTAACCGTTATTTCACCAGATTTCTCGAGTTTCTAGCACCCAGTTGGCGTAAAAGATCTTATTTTCATTCTATTCCCAAATCCATAAGCAGTCGTGTGAATCTTCCACCGCCTTACACGTGAACGTGCTGGAATCACTGAACTTCAGCATTCTACGGTTTTGTAAAAGCTACTAACTGAATGACAATGATGAAAAAACACGATAACAAATAGCATGCCAACACGGTTCAATCTTTTAACCTAACAAAACTGGCGTTTCTATCATCCTTGCATTGTTCATTATTCCGTCGGTAAAGCATCTCGAACAAAAGTTTGCATACGTGTATAAACTCAGCACGAGCGTAAGTGCTTGTGAATGCATTTACAAACTGAACATATTTTTAGAGCAAGCATCAGTGGCAAGCAATGTGTAGAAGCTTTTAAAATTATGCCCAACTATTTAACATTATTATTTCTACTATTCTTCTGCCATTTAAAAAAAACGCCGGGCATAACGAGAAAAAAGGAAAAGACAAACATACCGTTTCATGAACTGCTGCTCCCCTCCGGGCACCGGATATGCCGCAAAATGGAGTGACGTCATTGTTACCGAAACGAATATCGAAAATCAAGACGATATGTATAGACGAAAAAGTTCTGTACAGGATAGCAGTGCAAAAAAAATAAGCACTGTTCCTGGTCAAGCACAGCCAGCTGTTGACGATCCTGAAACAGACGAAGTACTTGCGGCTGCACAACAATGAATCAATAGCACGCAGTATCAGGGAAAGAAATCACGTGTCGGTGGACCGGCACAAGGAAAACAAGCATAGTACCCTCAACAGTAACAAACAACAGCAGAAACAACTAAGATGTACGCCTTGGTAGACTATCTTTTTATTCTCAATTACAAAACGAAATAAATGCAGAAACTACAGAGCAAAACCTGTAAGGATTCTATACGTATATTCTGAGTAAGACGAGCTCCATTCGGTCTAAAATGGTGCATGTGAAAGTAAACTATTTGTTTGAACAAGCGTGCTAAGTCATGATTAAATAACAAAGTGAACACCCTTAAATAGAGCTATGAAGGTTATACTAAACTTATTCAAATAACCTTTGTTAATGAAATGAGGCGTTACAAAAAATGTCATTTATAACTGCCAAAACAAGCGAACGCTATTAATGCAATAAATACCCACAAAAATTCATGACAGCGACCGCTGCAGCAACTGTTGTTTAGCACCTTCAGGTTCTTTACACAGTAAGACATGTTCTTGAATTGCTTAACTACTACACTATAGAAAAAGTATTATCAAAGATCAAGGAAATATATAACAGATCAACTGGCTTTTTTGAACAGATTAAATATCAATCTAGCGGCACATTTTCTATGATTTTTTCAATTAAAGTTAGAGTGTTGTTTGAATTATTCAATTTCAGGATACTATGCTACATTTGTTTGCTGCCACTTGTTCAAAAGATATTCACTTAATTGAAATATAATCAGTCTAAAATTACAAAATAAGCACAGCAAACAGCCGAGGAAAGTAAAAACTTATGGCAGTTTTAGTTTTCTCTTCGTTAACTGATTCACAATAAAGCTTTTATGAAACCTGAAACTAAATATTTTTTTCAGGTTTTTGATTCTGGACCAATAGTTATATCTGTTGTTGCTTCAACGATTCATGGTTAACGTTGTTGCTTCAACGATTCATTCACAAAATACAACCAATGGTAAACAGTTCAATGCCAACTGATTTCACTGTACAGACCGCAGCTTCTCAGGTTAGACAGAATACAACTGACTGCTTGGGGGATATGTCAACGGAACTTGAAGACAGATGTCCAACAACCGAGCAATGTCAAATCTTGAATTGGCTCGTCACATACAGTTAAAACGTTGCTAAACTGTCTGAACAAAGTATTATGTTCACATGAAAATAAATCTTTGACACTTTAACCCGATCTTGTGCATCAGTTTTGTAACTGCGTCCCAGCTAAGACTCATGACCACAGAGGATGTGCACTCACGTTGCACAACCGATTTTTAATTGTAAGTGTATGCAAGGACTCGTTTATCTGCAGTCCTAATTTAGATTTGTCTTCGTGCATAACATACATATTGGTCTGTCTGAAAGAATGCCCTTCAGTAATCGTATGCTCGGCAATGTCAGAATTGTCATGCTATCCAATGCGTACAGCAGCAAAGTGCTCCTTCATGTGGATGTTCAGATTCCGGTTGGCCATTCCAATA